ACAGAGAGAGACACAGCGAGAGAGGGAACACAAGCAGGGGGAGTGGGAGAGGGAGAAGCAGGCTCCCGGCCGAGCAGGGAGCCCAATGCGGGGCTCAATCCCAGGACCCTGGGATCATGACCTGAGCCAAAGGCAGATGCTTACTGACTGAGCCACCCAGGCGACCCTGCAGGTATTTGATTTTAAATGTACAACTTATTACAAAATATGTATCAAAATTATGGCAGCAAAAGATTTAAATTCAGGTATGTACTTATAATTCATCACATTCTGTGGGGGGACTAGCTAGGTAAATAAACAGGCAAACACCTTGGAAGTGGCTACCTTCACCAGAACTTTAAAAAAAACACAAAACAGTAGCCTTCAGTGACCTTAACAAATGTGGTGCTCTTTAGAGCCTTTAGAAGAAATACTAAGCTAGAGACACTGGAAAGACACAGAAACCCCTTGCTGTGCTCTGACTTACTGGCTGAGCAGGTTATTGTTGATAGTTGATCATTCAAAAGAACAAATTATAACTCACTGCCCATGTACAGAATAACAAAGCACATCTTCACATAACTTACTGTCCCTTTACCTTTTTCTGAGCCTGTTATCTATTCTTTTCTCAATATATATCATTCTTTTTAAATTTCTGTTTTGGGTTGTTTCATGTGTATAACTGTTTTTAGAATTTGTTTTTTTAGAAAAGACAAAGCTTTGTGATAACTTTTTGATTTGTTATAAACACTGTCCTTATTGACTTTAAGGATATCACTTTAAGGTCTTTTCTGGGGCATCCTGTTTTTTAACAATTTAATATTGAAATGTCTTGGTTATGATACTGAAATTAATCTAATGTACCAAAAGAACAATAACGCTTAGAACCTGTTAAGTGAAAAAAGAGGGACAGAATAGTATATGCCGTATACCATTATATATTAAAAAAGTGTGTATTTTTATATACGTAGAATATATGCAGGATACAAAATAACAAAATGTTACTATTAATATTGGCTTACTCTGAGGAGGTGTGATGAATGGCTGGGTAACAGGGGTGCAAGATTTCCTTTTCACTGTATATTCCTTGAACCTTAAAAATTTTGTTCCATGTACAGGAATTAAAAATTTAAAAATAGAATTTAGTTATCAAAATCTTATTACATATAGTAGGCATTCATAAACATGGAATGAAAGAATAAATGAATAAATGAATTAAGTAAAATGAATCAATGTCTTAAACTTACACTAAAGCCTTGTGGTGTTATGTGCCCAGACTGCAGCAAACTTTAAGGCTGTAAATGGTCAATATCTGTAAATCTTCAGAAATGGCAGAATTGTGACATTGCCAAGAAAAGAGCTTTGGTTGATAGAACAGCATTTTTATAAGTGGTTCTAGGCTAGTCCTTTAAAAATTCCTAAGTAATAAAGCCAGATTATCCTCCATCCCCCAAATCTGTGAAAGAATTACCACTCATTGGCAAAAACACCTCTTATGGTCTAGAAGAAAATGCAGTAACTCTATTGTTAATAAGTCAGGTCCCAAGCTTGTCTAGTGGCAGTTTTATCAACCTTTCACTCACTGCTTAACAGTGAAATTTCATAATTGCATGAGACTAAATGGCTATTTATTTATTTTGGAGGGGGGAGAAGGGGAAGATGGAGAGGGAGAATCTTAAGCAGGCTCCACGCCCAGCACAGAGCCTGACACAGGGGCCGATCACATGACCCCCAAGACCACGACCTGAGCCAAAAATCAAGAGTTGGAGGCTTAACAGACTGAGCCACCCAGGTACCGTTACTAAATGGCTTTTTATTTTTATTTATTTATTTATTTATTTATTTATTTATTAGAGAGAGAGAGGGGGAGAGAGAAAGAGCAGGGGGAGGGAGAAGCAGACTCTCCACTTAGCAGGGAGCCCAAAGTGGGCCTAGATCCCAGGACCCTGGGATCATGACCTGAGCCAAAGGCAGATGGTCAGCCAACTGAGCCACCCAGGTGCCCCTAAATGGCTTTTAAAAACAGAAATAGACTGAATTGGAGAAAAAACTATTGTTACTTTGTTATATTTCTAAATGGAACAATCCATTACTCTTTATTACAAGGAAGTTTCATATACAGATGGTCCCCAACTTAGGATGGTTCGACTTACACTTTTTTGACTATACATGGTGTAAAAGCGATACATTCAGTAGAAACAATACTTTGAATTTTGATCTTTTCCACGACTAGTGATATGTATGCAGTATGATCCTCTCTCATGATGCTGCGCAGGGACAGTGAGCTGCAGCTTCATCAGCCATGTGATCACGAGGGTAAACAACCCCTACACTTACAATCATTCTGTACCTGCAGTCATTCTATTTCTCACTTTTAGTATTCAATTAACTGCATAAGATATGCAACATTTTATTATAAAATAGACTTGTGCTAGATGATTTTGTCCAACTGTAGGCTAAGATAAGCGTTCTGAGCCCGTTTAAGGTAGGTTAGAGGTATTAAATGCATTTTTTATTTACAATATTTTCAACTTACAATAGGTTTATTGGCATGTAACCTCATCATAAGTCCAGGAAGATCTGTATCTCTGTACATTTGCTGAGGAAGTTGGTCCTGATATTTTTCTGAAAAATAATAAAAGGTAGGAAAGACTTCAAATGAATTATGTTTATTGTATCTCTTAACTTCAGTGAAGGTAATCAAGAGTTTACACTAAGTGCAAAGTTACTTTGGCTTTGTTTATTGCCTTATGTGCTAAGATAAGCAGACCAGCAACCTACTGTGTATTTAGGTCAAACCTTACGGACAAGCATGGATCTAAAAAGTGACAGTTTCTTGGAATCAAAATGAAAAAGGGATGACAGTGGAATTCTAGCTATTCTTGTTGGGGAGATGAAGGCTGAATTGTGGAATTCACTATAGCACACAGATTCTTAAAGAGTTTTGCCAAAAAAATAAAGACAACTGGATAAAAGTGGTTTTACATTGAGCAACTCTATGTAAAATGCTTACAACAGTGTCTGGCACCATAGATTGGCTTTGTAAATGTTAACTGCTATTTATCATCATCATTATTATAATGACACTTACCACTTCAAAATAGTCAAAAGGTTTTATTAGCCATGCTGTACCTTTATATAAAGCAATCTGTAGGATACCAAGAGAAGAAACAGTCCCTGTTTGTAAGAAGTTTATAGTGATACATTTTGAAGGAATAGGAAGTTAAATTGTTAAAGAAAAAAATGTTTAGTTTCTTTGAGGCAGCATCTTTTGCTAGTTTAGCTGGAGTCCTGCATCAAAGGCTGAGAAAAGTTCATAGCTCCTTCTTTCCCAAACAAGTTAAAAACAGAGATCACTAATATTTAAAATAAACAGAAACAAATTACAGTAGTAATTTATTGCTTTTCAACAATTCCAGTGTCATAAAATCTATCTAAACCAAACTCCATATAGGTCTTGAATACAAGAATCAAAATTCTCAGGGAAGTAAGGCACTTAAAGTGGGAGTCTATAATCTTTTTTTTTTTTTTTTCCCCTGACAAGGGTAGAATGCCGAGAGGAAAAGGCCAGGAGGAAGACTGCCTAGAGACCTGGGTACATGGAACTGTCCTTAGTCTTCATGTATGTATACTTCCATTTTTGAACACTTTTATTTTTGGATACCTTCCAGTCTATGAAAAGAAAGGGGAAGAAAAAAACAGAAAAAAGAAAAGAAAAGGAAGAAGAATAAAAGGAACTGTACTACAGCTGTACTGGATAATCGAAAGGTAGGAAATGTTCTTCAGTGAGTTAAAACTGTCTTGCAATCTCTCTGAAAAGGAGTAGGCAAAAATCTTTTTGAAAAGAAAGCCTTAATTTCTAGTAGAGACTGTTCTGGAAAGGTTAACTTCCCAAATTGACAGGAAGGCGCACCAAACCCTAACACATAATTTAAACTTCCCTCCGACATACAGTAGAAAATCTATCCTTGAGGCATTAGGCCTTTCTTATTTACCTTAAAATATACCCTGTCCCTCACACACCCCAGCTTTCTCTTCTCAGGTGGAAATTAAGGAGAAATTTAATTTGCTTTGCTAACCTGAGGAAAAGTTTTCTACATGGAGAATGTATAAATTAGATCACAACATGTTTATACAGCTATCCGATACTGTTAAGATAATTCCTGAATTCTGCAGCTTTTGTGTTAATAGTGGACAATACATGAGGGCTTTGGAATACCTGAATTTTAAAATATAAAGACTGCATACATGTTTGCCTGAGGTCCTTAATACTTGAGAGGATCCACTAAGAGCCCTTCCCACAGATTGGTAAGACTTATGAATATGTTTAAAAAAATTAAGAGAGATCTAGGTCTTCCAGAGGAGATAGAGCAAGACATGGAGTTTAATTCTCAAACCAATGCTTTTCCCAAAATAATCATGTACCCTCATAAAGGAAATAGGAAATGAAACATTACATTCAATTTGGATGAGGAGGTGGCCTTCCTAAGCAATTTATTCAAGTATAAACAATAATTATGTAGAAAGAATCTGGTTATAAATATAATTATGAAACCTTATTAATTCACACTAATCAGTGGGGAATATAAATTGCATTATGAAGAGGTTTGAATTATATAATAGAATTACTAAAACTACTCCCTTGTTAGTCTATCTGCCTCTCTTTCATCTCCAGGTTGTCCTGTACACAGCTTACTAGGTAGAAAGAAGAAGTGTTTTCTATGAAGAAGAAACAGTATGTACAAAGGCTGAATGGTCAGGGTTAGGAATTTGAAACAACCCCGCATATTCTGCCTCTTATTATCCTCCTCATCACTATCCTTCCCTATGACCTGAGGATTTTGAACAAAATAAAATGAAAATAGCCTAGCCTTTAGCACAGGCTGAGTTAAGCAGGCCTAGGTTTAAATCTCAGCTTTAAAGGACTTATAAGCTAAAAATAGCTTAGCGACGTATCTGTAAGTTTGGGGAGATGGGATGGGATTTCCCTAGGTTCTTGGTAGAAAAACCTTTGTTTAGGTGCATGGTTGCAGTGATGAAGAGTTCTCCCCAATAACTCTTGGAATCCATCTCTCTCTCATTCCACTGGATTCTGTAAGTGGGCCTGGTTGCCAACACAGCCTGAATCATGTACTCCCATGTTATGGTTGAAGCACATCTTGGCTGTTTCATGAATAATGTGGTCTCACACCTGGGTTGGTCAAAGGAATGACTAGTGGACCACAGGGGTTATACAAGATGGAGTTAGAAAGCTTCCAGATTGGGGCGCCTGGGTGGCTCAGTTGGTTAAGTGACTGCCTTCGGCTCAGGTCATGATCCCAGAGTCCTGGGATCGAGCCCTGCATTGAGCTCCTTGCTCAGGGGAAAGCCTGCTTCTCCCTCTCCCTGCTACTCCGCCTGCTTGTGCTCTCTCTGTCAAATAAATAAATAAAAAATCTTAAAAAAAAAAAAAAGTCTTCCAGATTAACTTTTCATTGGAAACAGGAGCAAAACCCCCTGTTTTTCTAGCCTGTCTGGGCCTGATAGAACATGAGATGAAGGCAGTGTATGTAGTTCTCTACTTGGATGGCTACCCTGATGAGTGTTACCTGTTTGCAATTTATGTCTTTGTGCCTCTCACTAACTTCCTGTGGCATTTAACTTTTCGATTCTGGTTCCCACTGATGTGGCTAAGGCGAGTATACATAAGACGACATAATGAGGTGTGTGTGCATGGTGGGGATGAGGGAGTGGTAAAAACTATGACTGCCTCAGAATAGTGTATTCTGAGCTTGGTGAGATTTACTCTACTTCTGGCCCTGAGGTACTAAGTAGACTAGCAGTCCCAGAGGTTGGTAGCATAGTACAAAGGGTATTCCCCTACTACAAGATTTTCCAGTTTCTTTCCTGCTACCAGATTGGAGGTGGTAAACAGGGGAGGGTATATTTGTAAACCTAGAAGATTTAAAGAGGGCCCTGCCAAAGCAGGAGAGAGTTAAAGCCCTCAGTCTGAGACCATGAGTTTGAAGACACGAGAGAGAAAAGAACTTGTCTATAAGCAGTTAGCTTGGAATCTGAAGCTGAAGGCTGTCCATTTCAAAGGATGTAGTGGGCCGTTTCAGTCACTGTGGCCATGATGACCAAAATGGAACCATGGGCCTGAGATGAGAAAATTGTGGAAATTGTCAGGAAGTCCACTGGATCTCTTAAATGTGAATCCTGATCTGCCAAAGGTGACATTAAAAGGAGAATCTCCATAGAGGGAGGAGACTGCCAAATGTTGTTACTAAGACTCTTGTTCTGACATTAAACTTTCCCTTGGGCATGTTACATAAATTATCACCAACACCATGAAGAAGATTGGGGGTGGGTAGCACTTCCCTTTTGGCCTGCCCTTTTTTTTTTTTTTTTTTTAAAGATTTTATTATTTTAAGAGAGAGAGAATGGGTGCCCGAGATGGGGGGGGAGGGACAAAGGGACAGAATCTTCAAGCAGACTCCACGCTCAGTGCTGAGGCCCACGTAGGGCTGGATCTCACAACCCTGAGATCATGACCTGAGATGAAATCAAGAGTCAGATGCCTAACCAACTGAGCCACCCAGGTACCCTCCCTTTTTGCCCGCTTCTTGAATAGCGCAGCAGAGCCCAAGCTGGAACAAACTAGGTGCTGCAATATATATTTTCCCCCCCTCCCTAACTGCCTGTCCCTTCCTCATTCTCTAACCCCCACACAATTTTCTGTCATTGTTGTTTTCCCCTTTATGCTGATTAAAAATAAAGTATTAGGAGTTTAAAGAATTCTATTTTCTTTTGTATTACTGAATAATGTATGATGTAGAAATGTCAAGCAAACATGTACTGTAGTTAGTGCTATAAAGGGAAGGGCTTCATGAAGCACATTTGAAACATCTGAACTCTGAGGCCTAGAAGGGTATTTTCACATACTGCTCCACTCCCTATTATCTTATACCGGGCTGATTAACTTTTCCTAGTCCTTGAAGACTTCCCAGTTTGAACCTGTGATTCAGATTAAACTTGACTAAAATTCAGGGATAAGCAGAATAATGCACCAAAAAACAGACTTACAAAACATGAGTATTTACCTTCCCTCTTGGGTCTCTAGGAAAGCCTCTTGGCCTGCCTCCTACTAGGCAACTCTGTGGCAAAGGCCATTTCCCTCATATCAGTAAGGAGGCCCCTCAACATTTTTTAACTCCTCTAAGTTCAAACCCTGAAAAGGTAAATCCACAAGTGCCCCTTCTACCTGTTCTATGTTCCAAGTTTTTTTGTGTGTGTGAGGACCTTCTTCCTCTATGATTGGTTGATAATGAGAATGTCTTATTTAAGGAAACCATTCCACCCTACTCAAAGGGGGTATAACCTTATTCTATGGCCGTAAAAGTAATCCTATCAGAGTACAACAGGCATAACATCTGAACTAATGGTTTGTATAAAAGGTAAGCTGGGGGAAGGGAGGAGGCTTCACTCTTATTAATACACAGCTCAAAAGTGGGGTTGGTAGCCCCTGGACCTCACTTGGGTACAGGCGTCATAGATATTGTACGGCATGGGGCACTGTGGCAGATTCATGGTTCTTACAAGTCACCACAGATTGAATTCAAGCTTTATTTCAGCCTCTCTTGTTCACCAGTGCAGCAGCCTCAAGGTCCAGTTAGAACACCCAGGTCTGGCTACCCAGGCAGGGGGATACATAAAGCTAGTCATTATGACCTAAGAGGCCTCCTTCATTGCATGCACCACTCTTCTGAGTCACATCAGGCTTGAGGTACAGCTGTTCTGGAGTTCCAACTGCCTGTTGCTGCTGCTGAGTAGGGGCTATAGGGTCCACGTTCTCACAATGAAAGATCTCCCAGCATGGAATACGGGCGCCAGGACACCCAGAACTTCCTGGAATACACGTGATCTTAAAATGAAGTTTAAAAAACATGTCTCAATACCTCCACCCCCAACTTGGTGCCTAGAAGTGCCTTATGAACACAAAAAGTGAGCACAACTATCCCAAATTCAGATAAGCAGGGAGTAGTTCCCTGCAGTGCATTTTCTGGTTGCGAAGGCCGATTTCGTGGCCAACAGCTTTTGTCAGGATTGTTTAGCCCTACGAGGGATATAAGGAAACTAGAACAGGATTTTCCTAAGTCAAGTCGGCCTTCAAACTCTAGGGATTAATCGCCTATGGTATTAATAGTTATAAATGACAATTTCTGCTCATGTATTTTTTGTGAGAACGAAATGATAAATACTTCCTGATGATTCCAGAAAATATTGATTGTGTGACTTTAAGCAAGTTACTTAACCTTTTGTATCTGTGTCTGTCTGTAAACTGGGGATTATAACAGTACTTAGTTCATAGCATTTTTATGAGTAGTACATGAGTTAATATGTATAAAGTGCTTAGATCAATGCCTGACATATAGTAAGCACTCCCTAAATCCTAGCTATCATCAATTTATCACTATTATTTCCAATCTCCACCCCATCTGCCTAGAATACTAAAGATGGGAAAGAAGGGAGGGAAGGAAGGAGGGAGAAAAAGTAAAAGGAAGGAAGGAGCTTAGGGTTAGCCAGGGTGAAGGAGGTTAGACAGGTCTGGCAAATATGTAGAACCATGCCTAGAAGGAATGCTTGCCAGGAAAGAACCTAATTAATGATATGGGTTAAAAAGAGCAGACGCCAAAACCGTCTCTGTGCTGGCAGAAATAAGAAGCAGGACACAAGCTTTATCAGACCAGGAAGGGAGGGAGCGTATGGGAACTGTACTGCCATATACAAACAGAGCCTCAGGCAGTTTGGTTGAAAACAAACTGAATGAGAGGATAAACAGGTCAAAAGGAATACTCTTGGTACTTGTTACCCATATGTATTGTTTTGTGACCTTTAAAGTCTTTAAGTCTTTTAAGACCTTAAAGTCTTTAAGCATTAGCGCGAGTTTATCATAATTTTTTAGGTCCCCCCCAAATTTTGGGGTTTAATCTCAATTTCAGACAATTATTAAAAAACAATATAAACGTCCCTTACTATCAAAGCCATTGCAAATATTAAAAAACACAGTAAACAATTAGTACATGTGTAATTACAATTAGTACATGTGTGCTAGTAAATGTAGGACAGTATGATTCCTTGAAAAACACATATTTATTCACAAAAAAATTCTCAAAGACTCAAAGAAGTAGAAAAGCAAATCTTTGGCCACCAAAACTACCAAACACACAAAAAGTCAGTAGTTGGATATAATCATTCTATCATTCTTGACTAATCTGTCACGTTGAGGAAATTTTTATTGAGAGCAATTTTGTTTTCTACCAAATTGCTGAGGCGCTCTTCATATGTGGCAGTTTGTTTTGACTGTTTTAACCAAATCATCTCTTGCCAGCAGAGAGCCAAAGAAGCCAACTGATTAGGATGCCAAACTGCAGGCTGGTGAGATAAGTGAAGGGTCAAAACAGAGCGAGAGGTGCCAAGGAAAAATGGGGAGAGCTCAGGGCAAGGCTTGAAACACATACATCTCACCAACACTGAGTCAGTCTTCCTTCAAAGGGTAGCAAATTCATCTTAGATCCAGACTTGGCCCTTAGGATGCAGCAAGACTACACTGACATATAACATAAAATTAGAGAAGATGTTCTGAACGAAAGAGTTCTCTATTATTATTTTTAAAGATATTATTTTTTTTTTAAGATTATTTCTTTGAGAGAGAGAGCGCACGCACGCACACAAGCAGGAGAGCGAGGGAGAATCTCAAGCAGATTCCATGCTGAGCGCAGAGCTGACGCAGGGCTCGATCTCATGACCCGACCCAAAACCAAGAGTTGGACACTTAACTGACTGCACCACCCAGGCACCCCAGGATTTTATTTTTAAGTAATCTCTACGCCCAACATGAGGCCCAAACTCACAACCCAGAGATCAAGAGTCACATGCTCCACCAACTGAGCCAGCCAGGTGCCCCAAGAGTTTTCTACTTTAAAGAATGTTTTTTAGCATTGACATTATCTTCTTTATGCTAGGTATTTGCTTAGACTTTTTTTCATACATGGTACAAAAGCAAATTTCAAATTTCATTTTCCATATTCTCCTTTGACTTCTTATAAATTTTAAGTGGGGAAGTATTCTTAATCAATAATCAATAAAGTATTACTGTATTTTTAAAAAACCCCTTCCTGCTCTGTTTGGTGTTAGTGAAATGAGGATAATAGCATCTTCCGCCACAGAAATGATGGAATAATTAAGGGAATGTAAGTGAAGTATTTGAATTCCAAAGAAAATACACTCTAATTTTATTATTTTCCTTTTCTAGATAAATGGGTAACTTACTCAGCTTAAATAGTAACTAATTGTTATGAATTTTCAAACTTGTTGCATTTGTATTTCTCATCCCATTACTAATTTCTGAGGTTAAAACTCTTACCTTAAAACCTTCAGAAGTTTTGCTCACTTAACAAGCTTGCCAACAGCAGATTACCCATGCATCATCCAGTCTATTAGCCTTTAAAACAGGAAAGTGAATTTGGGGAATTCCATGCTAAAGCCGAAAGCCACTAAAGAACATTATGCCTTTTCTGGTTTTGATGTAATGATTTTTTTTTTTTTTTAAAGATTTTATTTATTTATTTGAGACAGAGAGAATGAGAGGGAGGAGGGTCAGAGGGAGAAGCAGACTCCCTGCCGAGCAGGGAGCCCGATGCGGGACTTGATCCCGGGACTCCAGGATCATGACCTGAGCCGAAGGCAGTCGCTTAACCAACTGAGCCACCCAGGCGCCCTTGATGTAATGATTTTTAAAGACTCCATGATGAAATGCTTTTATGTTTTTGTTTTTTTAAAAGATTTTATTTATTTATTTGACAGAGAGAGAGACAGCGAGAGAGGGAACACAAGTAGGGGGAGTGGGAGAGGGAGAGGGAGAGGCAGGCTTCCTGCTGAGCAGGGAGCTCGATGTGGGGCTCGATCCCAGGATCCTGGGATGACCTGAGCCGAAGGCAGACGTTCAACCGAGCCACCTAGGCACCCCTAAAAGGCTTTTATCTTAAAAACTGCACTTAGGGAGTGCCTGGGTGGCTCAGTCTGCTGAGCGACCAACTCTTGATTTCGCCTCAGGTCATGATCTCAGTGTCCTGGGATCCAGCCCGTGTCCCTCATCGCAGAGCCAGCTTGTCCCTCTCCCTCTGTTCCTCCCCTCCTCACCCTTGCTGGCACCTGCGCTCTTTCTCTTTCCCAATCAATCAATCAATAAAATAAAATCTTAAGAAAAAAAAGACAGCCTTTCAAAAACAAACAAACCCCAAAAAAAACAAACAAAAAAACCACAACTTGGTACCACAGAAGAACCTAGAGGCTGGAGATCTGGTTCTTCTGGTCATGCCATTTATTAGATGACTAGCCTTAGAAAAGTTAGCTTCTCTGGGCCTTAATTTCTATTCTGTAAAACCTCCTCTCAGCTCTAAATTTCTGATCCTGTGCTTACTAGTTTATTTCTTCAGTGTCTCATGGATTAATCAGGAAGAAATCTAGAGAAAAGCAAGAATTTTACCTGTATCATTTCATCAGTTTTGCCAGCTCACCCATCCTATTTCTACTTTTAAGCTGAGAACCTTTCCCTTGCTTGTGATCTTTCCCTCTTATGCACTTTATGAACAAATTATAATATTAATCACAAACACCTGTAGAGTGCTTTCCAAGTTTTATCAACCCCTTCTGCAAATACTCTGATTATTATCACAACACCTCAAGCTGGTATGTATTATCTTCAGTTTACCTGGCTGGCCCAGAAGAGTTCAATGAATTAATTGTCCAAAGTAACACAGATAATAAGTTATGGGAACAAGCCTTCTGATTCCAAAGTCTATACTCTTTTCACAACACTACAGTTCCTGCTAGGAGCAGATCCAGATTTTGTGGAGCCTGAGGTGTATACAATTTTGGTGGACATTTTCAAGAAAAGGAATACAAAATTATAATAAAGCACTAACATGATCCTGTGAACACATTGTTAGGGCCCCTTTCAGGGCCCTGGAAGCGGTCTATTCAAGTGCTTTTAGAATTATCTTTAGGATTCAGTTTCATGGTTTTCCATGGTTATACAATTATTTAATGCTCACTATATGCCAGACACTTAAGTAAAATACTATTTTTATTACCATTAAAACCCTATGAGGTAGGTACTATCCCCATTTTACAGAGCAGAGAATGAGGCTTGGAGTGTAAAATAATTTGCCTAGGGATACAGAGCTTTTAAGTGCAAAGTATCAAAATTGGAACTGAGACCTGGCTCCTGGGTTGGTATTATAAACCTACCCCACACTGTTCCTACATAAGCCTTCTTTTCGGGTTTCCTGGGAATCAACTTATTCTACCACTTCCCACTACATTCTATAGTTCTGGACCTGATAAGCTCATGTCTGAACCAGTCCCATTTTTCTCCCTAACTCAGTTCTCCTACCATCTACCATGAAAGCTGCTACCACCCTAACAATCCTAAAGCCCTGCGGTTCTAAATCCTGGCCACTGGGGTGGCCTGAATTGCCTTAATTCTCTGCATTTATCAAAAGTGAAAAGCAGTTACTGCTCATATGCGGTGCTTGGCCATAGATTCTGTACTGTCTTCTGAGGTGCTGAACTATCACTGAAAACTTTGTGTGAAACAGAGGCAGAGTGGGTGAAGGGAAAGCAACATTTACATCTCAGAACCTGATTTCTCAGTCCCCACTCCTCAATCTTAGTTCTTCATTTGCAAGACAAAATCTTAAGGCCAACCTCACAAGGCTGTGAGAATTAAGGGCAGAGAGGGCAGGGTTGGGGCCAACAGCAAGTGGTCATCAAATATTGGTTGATTTCTTCTGCCTGACTCAACCCTCCAAAGAACTTGTAAACTCATTGAAGGTAGGGGCCTTCATACATTTTTGGTATTTCCCAAAAGCTAACATAAGAGACACCTCATGATTATTCAAGCAGATCACTTAAAATGATACACTTCCAGTGTCTGGACTTGCTCAAGAATTTACAATGGCTCTTAGAACAAAATCAGACTCTGAAGTCTGACTTTGGATGTTGGTCACTTACTCTGTGACCTCTGGAAAGTTACCTAACCTCTCTGAGCCTCAAGCCCCTTATTTGTAAAATGTTAATAATAGTTACCTACCTCATAAGGTTATGAGAATAATTCAGGTGAACTGCTAAGTATATAATCAGTCCCTCAGAACTGCTAGCTCTAATTATATCCTGTCCCGAACATTCAGTGTCCAGAAAAACTTGGCCTCTGCATTCTCGTTTCTCCATGTTTCCAACATACACACCTCCCTAGGGACCAGTCTCACCACCCTCTGACCTGCTCTTCTTTCCCGACTTCTGTGTTTAACACTCAGCATTCATCAAATGCCACAGGGGAGACTCTGTATTAAGAAAGTTCCATCACGTCTCTCATCAAAAGCACCAAAAGTGCCCAGGAGGTTGGTTCTACTACTGTTGCCATTTTAGAGAACAGGAAACAGGCCCTGAGGGTTTGAGTGACTTCCCCGAGTTCACCGAACTCTGCGGAGGCCACAGCCCGCGCTCTCACCGCCCGCCCCTTCGGCCTCTTCCCGGGCCCGAGGTGGCCCCACGTCCATTCACACCCTGCCCAGTCCCTCCTCTTCCAGTCGCTTTCCTGCTCCTACGCGCGCCCGTCGCCCCCCACACCTGAGTCAGGCCCCCGGGGGTACGCCCCATCCGTCCTTGGCGGCTTTTCCCTTTTCTCTGCCAGAGACTGAGGGGGAGGCCGGCGCCGATGTCCTGCACGCGCGTAGGTCACCGCGAACTCCTTGGACAAGGGACCGGAGGGGCGAGCTCCGCAGAGGAGCACAGCAGCGGTGTGGCCGCCGCATATCGGGGGCGCGTAGCGCGGGTCGTGCCGGGCCGCCGGTCACGTGGCGGGGAGGGGGCGCCGGCGCGCGCCAGGGCGCGGGCGGGCGCGCGCGCCTGAGAGCGTGTGGAGGCGCGAGTCGCGGTTCGGGCGTATGTATGGGGGGGGGAGGGGGCGGCGGCCGGGAGGGCCGACTCCGCCCCATGTGCGCATGCTCCGGCCCCGGAGGATTATAAGGCAGCCCCGCGCGCCCGGCCCGACAAAGTGCTGGCGAGCTGCGACGTGACCTGCCGGCCGCGTGTGTGCCCGAGAGAGCGAACGAGGTAGCTGGCGAAGGACGCGACCGGGACCCTGGGCCCTGCGGGACTCCAGCTGTGTCACGTACACGCTTGGCGGCGCGAACCGCGCATAACGGTTAGTTGGGTAACGGCCGGCGGCGGCGCTGGGCGCGGACCCCGCGGTTCCCCTGCCTCCCTGGTGGGTAGGAGGGAGCCTCGGGGGGCGCAGACCTGGGTCTCGCGGGAGGGAGGCGGCCGCTTAGCCCCGGAGCGTGGCGTTGGGGAAGGAGACCTTGAGGCGATGGGGACAGCGCCTCGCCCCGCCGAGCTGCGGCCCCGTGGTCAGGTGCGGGCCACCGGCCTGGCCGGGGAGTTGGGTTTGGGTGCCGGTGACCTTGCGCAAGTAGCTTTTCCCCTAGCGTTCAGGAGTCTCCTCAAGAGATGCTTTTGATTTGGAAAAGGGACGACGTGGGGCTGGTTCACGTGGTGCCTCCCCGCTCTCCTGGCCGCGTTCTGCTCCGAGGGAAGGGACTCGGGGCGGGAGTTATTTTGGACTCGTGGCATGCCCGCCCCAACCTCGGCCAGCCAATCCTTGCCCCACCTGGTGACTTGCGAGAGTGGTTTGGGGAGCCGCAGCCCCCGCAGCCAAGACGTGACTGCAGGGTTCGCGCGGACTTTGCGGAGGGAACAGTGCAGCTGGCCGACTCCGGGACTGGTGCTGACGGGGACTCTTTGTCATTCAACCTGTGGCTGCCGAACATCGACTGCAGCGCCCTCGCGCTCCTGGTCTTGAAGGCGGCCTTGTGGGGAGGAATCTGAAGGATAGCGTTACACTTGGTCAGATGCACTCGTTTTGTTCCAAGTGCATCCTTTTTTTCCACGTGCATTTTAAGCATTTCGTGTCTTTGTCACGACTTATTTGGTGTGACAAGCAGTGGCCCAAACTACTTTGTAATTATTTTCGACCAAGAAACAAACGGATTTCTACTTGAGCCGGGTTTCCAGCGTTTGCTTACGAACTAGGCTCCTAGAAAGCAGTAGAATGTTTACAGAGCTACTCTTTACCATAACTAGTTTTGAAATGTTTTTTTTTTTTTCAAAAGTTATTCCGGTTTCGAAATAAAATGCGTACACGTCAGTGCCCTGATAAAACAAATGTGGGCTTAGTAACTAGTGGAATGTCGTGATAGGGTGAACTCTGAATTGTGTGAGAGTTTGGAAGAGTATGACTAAGAATTAGGCATTAATAAACAATGTCAATGTCGTTTACCAGAACTGTGAGTGAAATAGAGACTATGTATCTTCAGCTTTTTAGTTTGGCATTAAGTAGTACCCATTAGTCCAAGTCTTATGCCCTGGAGTACAACTTTGCCTTCAAATTGCCATAGAAAATATCAGGAATTCATGACATCTAGCCTTTAATATAGGTAATGGGTAAGTATTATTTAAAAGTTTAACATACTTGAGTAATTTAGGGTTTAGATAAATGCTGTTCTTTAATCATATTGCAGTGACTCTTGTTAAATATGCAAGTTAATGGTCTGGAAAGCATTTTGTGAGATTTTTATAGCTGAATAGGTTTAAAGGTTTGGTTGTAAGCTTAACATAATAGGCTATAACATCCCTAAACAGATAAAAAAAGGATAATAAGGTCATAGGATGAAACCATTTGATAGTGTCTCAATAGTTTACATGTCTTTTTATCTTCTAAATATTAATGCATATAATATTACCCTGGAAAAGATCTTAATGACCAGCTAGTCAGATTCCCTTATTTTACAGATTAGGAAATTGAAGTTGGAGAAGTTAAGTGACTTAACATCTTAGGTGTGAAAACTTGTTGATGTTTTTGTGGGAATTAATGTGTCTTTTGACTCCCATTTAATCAGATTGGCACTCTTGAGCTTTCTGTAAAATTGTTAATATGGATATAAATTTATACTAAAATAGATATTTTGAGTAACTTTCCCAATTTATGTCCTTCATTCCCATTGTGTTTTCAATCCACTTTATAATGCATCCCTGTATATAGGATTTAGGTCCCTGTAAATGCCTATATGGCCAGTCTGTTTTTGTTGCAGATGAAGACTAGGAAGATGGAACTTGGATGTGAGAATAACAGACCAGAGAGTTGTGAATATTTTTGTATTCAGCAATTTGTTATTAGCTATTAGGCACTATGAGAGACTTAGGATTTGGCAATGAACAAGTTCTGGCCCTATCCCTGCTGGAGTTTGTAGTTTAACTGGAGAGCAGATAGGTAACAGTGATTACCACAAGTACTCTTTATAAACATATATTGAGTGTTATGATAGAGGGAGTACAGGTTCCTGTGGAACGAAATAGTGTATTCTGTACTATGAGAAGATACCCAACCCAGTATAGAAGCAGTCTGGGTACACCTCTCTGAGGAATGCTATTTAACTTTTTAGACTTGAAGGTTAGGAGCTAACTAGGCCGGGAAGTGATGGTGGAGAGCATTCCAGCCATGAATGCTGAAGCTACAGTCAGAATACAGGGTACATTGGAAAAACTGCAAGAATTTACCAAAGCTAAAGCATAAGAGGGAGCAGGGAAATTAGGGAGAGATGGAAGTTGGAGAGGTAGATAATATCAGATAATGGAAGGCCTTATAAGTCATTTTAAAGAATTAGGGAAGGGACTAGGTTAAAAATTTAAGGAAGCACTCTTGCATTGAAGCTAATCAAAGGCGGTTTAGGGTGATTTTTTTGTTGTTGTTTTTTTAAAGATTTTATTTATTTGACAGAGAGAGACAGTGAGAGAGGGAACACAAGCAGGGGGAGTGGGAGAGGGAGAAGCAGGCTCTCCGCCAAGCAGGGAGCCCGATGTGGGGGCTCGATGCGGCGCTCAATCCCAGGACCCTGGGATCATGACCTGAGCCGAAGGCAGACGCTTAATGACTGAACCACCCAGGCGCCCCAGTTTAAGGGTTTTAAGTGGAGTTGAGGATCATATTTTGCATTTTAGGAACCTCACTCTGCATACAATGTGGGAAACAGGCTGAAGGAAGTCTGTTGGGAGTGTGTGAGACCACAGTGATGGACAGTAGTGGTAGGAGGGAAGAGGCGGGGAGCACACAGGATTCAGTGGCAGACCAGATGTGGGAAACTGGGGCAGCCAGAGTTAACAGTATCTCCGAGGTCTCTAGCTTGACCAAATATGATTTTGTGGGTTTATCAGATGGTATTTGTCTCCATTTAACCAGTGGGGGCAATTAAGACATTGTGTGACTAGCCCAGGGCTGCTCAGGTTGTAAGTCTGGGAAATAAAACAAATCCGTTCCTGTCCTCTTTGTAGTTCTATTGGTGTGATTGATAGTGATTTTTTAAATTTATTCTCCTCTAAACAAACTACTATCGAAAAATTTCAAACACAATTGAGAGTCAGTGTTTCATCTATACCCTTTTCTACTCCCCCACAACTGCTACTGGATTATTCTGAAGCAAGTCGTATGTACATAATTACTCCATCTACGAATATTTCAGTATATCTCTAAAAGATATGACTCAAAAAATCATAACCACATACTATTATCTCACCTGTAAAAATGAACATAACCAAATAACCAGGCAGTATTCAAATTTTCCTCAGTTAGCGTTCTTTTGTTTTTTAAGTGAGCTCTGCATCCAATGTGGGGCTTGAGCTCAGGACCCCGAGATCAAGAGTCACATGCTCTATTGACTGAGCCAGCCAGGTGTCATATCCCTAAGCTTTTTCTTTTTAATTTTTTAAGATCTATATATTTATTTGAGAGAGAGAAAGCACGGTTTGGAGGAACAGAGGGAGAAGTCAGGCAGACTCCATGCTGAGTGCGGACGGAGCCTGAAGTGGGACTCCATCTTATTACCCTGATATGGCGACCTGAGCCAAAACCAAGAGTTGGATGCTCAACCGACTGTGCCACCCAGGCACTACCACCCACCCCACCAAGTTGCTTTTAAATAATTGGTTTGTTTGATTTGGGATCCAAACACAGTCACATATTACATTTGGTTGATAGATCTTTTAATCTACAGTTTCCCCCTTTCTCATTCCTCATAATTTATTTGCTGAAGCAACCAGGTTATTTTTCCTGAAGTTTCCCTCATTCTGGATTTTGTTGAATATATCCCTCTGGAATAGTTTTAATATGTTTTAGTTCAATATGTCCCTTGATCCTGTAAGTTGGTAGCTAGGTTGAAGACTTCAAGCATGCTTAGATCAGTTCAGCTTTGATTTCTGAGAGTAGGGACAGTGTGGGGGAGAGGACAAAATATAATTCCTAGGTGATGACGTATATTTCCATCAGGAGGCCTATGTTTGGTTATCACTGACTCTGCTATATTAATGGCATGGTTCCATTTTCTCATTAGTGGTTTGCAAATGGCCTTTAATTCTCTAACATTCCTTTTGGGTTTTTTTTTAAGATTTATTTAGAGCACCTGCGTGGCTCAGTCTTTTAAGCGTCTGCCTTTGGCTCAGGTCATGATCCCAAGGTCCTGGCATCGAGTCCCGCATCAGGCTCCCTGCTCAGCGGGGAGCCTGCTTCTCCCTCTGCCTGCCACTCCCCCTGCTTGTGTTCTCTTTCTCTCTCATAAAATCTTTAAGAAAGAAAGATTTTATTTCTTTATTTGAGAGAGAGTGAGGGGGAGGAGCAGAGGGAGAGGGAGAAGCAAGCTCCACACTGAGCAGGGTGCCTGATGCGGGACTTGATCCCAGGACTCTGGAATCATGACCTGAGCCGAAGGCAGGCGCTTAACAGATTGAGCCACCCAGGCGTCCCTCTCTTAACATTCCTTCTTAACTAATTAACTAGAATACCTCTATAGAGAGAAGTAGGGTTTTTTTCCCCAGTTTATTTTGAGATATAATTGACATCACTATATAAGTTTAAGTTATACAGCATAATGGCTTGACTAGCATATATTGTGAAATGATTGCCACAATAAGTTTAGTTAGCATCCATCATCAACTCATTAGATAAAGAGCAAAAAAATTTTTTTTCCTTCTGAAGAGGACTCAGAATTTACTCTCTTAACCTTCATATATATCATATATCAGTGTTAACTATAGTCATCATGTTGTACCTCACATCGCTGGTACTTATCTTGTAATTGGAAGTTTGTACCTTTTGAC